ACCAGCGCCCAAAACCCGCTCGCGGGCCTTGGGCGCTGGAATTGGGCCTTTGCATGAAAAATTTGACTTCCCGATAGCTCGGGTCCTTCGGACCCCTTCCCCCACCGACCACACACGCGTGTGGCAAATGGCAGAATGAGAGGATTTCGTATTTTTCATATTATGCAAATTAACCCCAAGAAAATGAATAAAACCGGCTAACTTTGTAAACTTGTATTTTATCGAAATTCTGAAAACGCCATCGGAAAGAGGAGGGTCGATTCCCCCTAGTGACGAAGAATTGGCGCATTTATACACGGAAGGCCTCCATCGGGCCTCGAAAGTGACATCCACACACACACACAGAGATACACCCCAAAATTATATAAGGTAGGATTCTTAAAAATCAATGGAATTCTCGAAAAATTATGGCGTTTGAAAATGAAAATAAGGAAACTGGCAAAAATATCGAATTTTAAAAAGCACCTAAAACCGTTTAACATTCATAAAGTAAGTAGTAAGTTTTGAGTAATCAGCTTTGTTTTTAACATTTGAGTAAACTTAATTACTACTTACAAACTAGTAAAACCAAAAACGCCAAAAATTATCCTAGTTAGACACCCCCGCTAACAGTTCAGTACCGCAAAAGATTTGCAAAAAATTCGACCTCTTGGATTGACGTATAGGCGAGGATGCGGTCGACCAACGGCGGCGTCCGGTCTCCTCGCCAAAGGGCAAACTCGCTAGCCGTGGGCTTGCTGCAAAAAAATTTTCTTGTTGTCAAAACTCAACTTACAGTTTCCGCGCATGGTCCCGCTCGAAATGCCGGCATCCCTCCTCCGACGTGCTGACGGCACACGCACAAAACTATAAAAAAAATAAATAATTGAAAGCTTTGCAACCCCCCATAGTCCCCAATAATTGTGGGGTAATTTCAGGGCGTGGCAGTGCTCACGGTCCAGTGCGACGTGGTAGGCGGGTAAGTGCTGCGAAAAAAAATCATAATTTAAAAAAAAACACTAAAACCGTCCATTCTCCCCGAGCCTGGCGCTTCGTCGGCGCCGACGGAGCTCGTCGAACGGGTATTCGGTCTGCGAGTTCAGGATTTGCCTGGAAAAACGGGAATGGGCGCTTTCGCATTAAAGGGGGACTAAATGTTTTTATCTAAATCCATGTACGACTAGACATGAAATTGGAGTGATTAGTAAGATTGCGTCCATTAGAAGAATAGATCAGGAGATAATAGTTGATAAAAAAACAAATGTCAAGCTTGAAAAGTTCGAAATTTGATTAAAAATCCGGCAGTTAAGCCGAAAACCGATATATCTATAGAAAGTACCGGTCTTTAATAAAAACCTAATCTTTCCCTTCAAAAAATAGCTAGAAACAATCCATAAATACATTACCCGGCTTTGAGAAATCTGGTGTTCCCCGCGAATAACGCATGAAAAAATGAAAAACCCAGGACAAACCAAACGAAACCGCTCCTACCATTCAATTTTCAATGACACCCTTGAGCACATCCACACAGAACGGCGCGGGCACCTGCCCGAAGCTTTTTGACCACTTCACCGGCAACCTCGCCAAACCGAAGGTGCTTCTCGAGGTGCATCAACACCCGCGCGCACATCACCGGCAGCGACGGAGCGCGGAAGACGGGCGTTGTGTGCGGACAAAATAGGCAACTCCTAAAATCAAAAGTAATTTCTTCTATTGCATAAATAATGTACGCGTACCTAGCAAAAGACTATAAATTAAAATATTTTCCTGGACTTTACAAACTTGCTGGAACGTAAAAAGTTATAAACTATGATAGAAAAGTTTCCGATCCCTCAGAGAGTGACCAAAACCTAAAAATTACCATTTATTCTGCTCATTGTCCAGGAATAACATGAAAAACGTCTTGAGTGCAATGTCATAATCAGGTTGGGGCTGGCGGCTCAGAATATGCTTCCAGCGCCTAAAAAAGGTTCACAGAATAGTTTCAGCAGTACCTTGTCATCTTAGGCGTTGCCAGCGACGAGGTGTAAGAGAAGTAGGTGCCTTTGCCATTCTCGTCCAACGGGTAAATGCGGTCGACAAAGCCCTTGTAGAAGCCCCTATAAATTAGGTGGTGAATGTGGGAAAACATTAAGCTACCGCTCCAAATATTCCTCCCAATACGGCGCGGCCAACAGCAAGTTCATCGCCGGAACCACTGAAAAATAAAATTATTCTTTAGTTACACATAAAGCTGATCGATTTCCTAGAGTAATTGACAAGTAAATTACCTTTCTTTTTGTTTTTCGGATGCGTAGTTTTCATATGGGCTGCCAACTCGGCCTCGCTGCCGAATTCCCAAAAGCATTTGAAGCACGAAAAGCTCTTCCATGAAGCCTAAAAATAATAATAAAAACTAGTAGATCAAAAATATAGAAAGCCTTCTAACTAAATAGAAAGTTTAGACCTGATGGCTGTCGCTAGCGCGTTCGTAAAACTGCACGAGCTTCGTCGTTAGGTCCCTTTTTGTGAGTGTAGTTACCAACGGGAGCTGCTCCATGTCTAAACAGCAGGGTTGTGCACCGATGGACCCGGATCGGTAAGGATCCGGATCGGGTCTGGATCCGGATCCGGATCGGATCCGCAGTAGGATCCGGATCCAGATCCAGATCCGGATCCACTCGGATCCGGATCCAATGCGGATCCGAGGAAAAAAAGGGACCGGAAGTAATATTCTCGATTCTGATGCTGATTCGGTAATGTTAATCGCAAAAATACATAGCCCAGAGGCAGAAATGATCTTTGAATCTAAGAATTAGCACTTAACTCGGTTGCATGATCCATTTCCTTGGATCCGGATCGGATCGGATCCGCCCTGGATCTGGATCCGGATCCGGATCCTACGGCGGATCCGGATCCGGATCCGATCCAGATCCAGATCCGGATCCAGTCCGATCCGAAAATGACCAACCCTGCTAAACAGTAATAAAGTTGTGACAAAAACGGCAGCAAAGCAAAGATATATCAGGAAAACAAGAATGTCTTATCAGAGAGAAAATTATAAAGCTGTAAAGATGTTTCGGTTAAAATTATAAAGTTTTGTAAACGCGGCATAAATTTCGTTGCTTTTCGGAATGCATTACGCGATGCTAAGGAAATAAGGAGTGATAAAAAGTAGAAATTTCTCAACATAGAAAACAAAAATATATAACTTTTCTATGTGAAAAGCTCATAAATTTTAAAGATTTTCTAAAAGCGGTATCAATTTCGTTGCTTTTCGGAGTACATTACGCGGTGTTATTTGGCGGAACTTTTGGAAAAGTAAGAAAAAGTAAATTTTCCGGCAAAACTGAAATATTATAATTGAAAAGATAAATGTTAGCTAGAAAGACATGACTGGAAAGCCCATTCAAGCATTCGAAAGATTTCGAAGCTAGAATTGAGACAGCCTGGCCTTCCCGCTGCGGCGCGCCGGCGCAATGCGTCGTTTTCTCGGAGATTACAAAACTGAAACTTATTGCTCTTATTCTTGGATGCGAATAGGACGTAGTGGGAACATAGAAGGAGATAATAAAGAAGAACAAATCCTCACACAAAGGAATTTTCGGCTCTCCACTCGCTCAAAAAGCTTTGACGTCAACATCGTACCCTGCGATCGCCCTGATTTTACTATCAATGTGTAGCTGAGATCCTTTTCTATCGATAGCCAGGTGGAGAATATACTAAAATTTCAAGAACAGAGGTTATATTCCAGAGAAGCAGCGAAATTTTGTATTCTTTAAAACTTTTGATGGGGACGTCATCGTTCCCAGTGCGCGCAGCCGGACCGCATGTCATTTGGAGTGATACGTAACGCTTGTTTACTTGAGCTGCTTATTATAATAGTTTTTAGAGGATTCATGAAGCGATGTACGCTTTCTGAGATTGTTAATTTTGTCTAACTTCTTTGCTTGCTGCTGCTCAAAACCCATTCGTTTATTCGGTGCCTAATTGTTCACCGGAAACATAATAATTTCCCAAAAATAGTTGAAGGGTTGGGCGAATAAGTTAGGTGGAGCTTAGTTTGCTGGCTTCTCCTCAGTTGGCTTCTCCTCAGTCTCCTCGTTGCTGGCGGGCTTTTCCTCAGAGGTTTTCGATGCCTAGAGAAAGTAGTCGTTAGATTTAGAAATTTTTGAAGTGCTCTTACCTCGGTGCGTGCTTTTCCCTTGTTGGAACCGTACATGAAGGCTCCGCGGGAGAAGAAGGAGGGCGAGTAGGCCGGACGAGCACCACCTAGAAGGAGTTATATAGTTTGTACATTAGAGTTTTCATGACGCTGTAAGAATATCTCTTTTGTTTTTGATTCGTTGATGCTCAGAATCTTGATTTTTAACAATACTAAAGACGAGGAGACATTCAATGTTTCTTTTTCTGTTTTTTGTTCACTTGAAGTTCGATTGTTAAAACTAGTTTGTCTATGGACGCTCCAGACATCAATAGACGCCTGCGTATCTCATGCCTGTACGTACGCTTTTACCCTGACTCACCTCCGATTCCAGGGTATCCCATCGTGGGGTAAGCACCTCCACCGATGCCCGGATAGGCCGAGGGATAGCTAGGATACGCTCCTCCTCCGATTCCGGGATAGGCTCCTCCTCCAATTCCAGGGTAAGTCGGGTAGGCTCCGCCTCCGATTCCGGGGTACGCTCCCGGGTATCCTCCGCACGGGGGAGCCGCGCAAGGGCTGTACATCTGAAACTTCGAGGGATAGAATCCGTTAAGGGCTCCTTGAATATACCGGTGCCGGCTGCACAGGCTGGTAGATGGGCATCGGGGCCGGGGGTGGGCAAGGAGGGGCGGAACAGTACTAAAGCGGTAATGTTGATTGACTGGGTTTTGAAGTCGTTAAGAACTTGTGGGATCTTTTGAACTTACCGAAACGGGTTGGTACATCACAGGGATCGGGCGAGGAGCGCATGGCGGGGCGGCGCAGTAGACCTAGAAAGCGGTAACTATAGGATTGTTGGATTTCCGGATTAGACAAGTCTATTAGGTGCATCAACGATTATTGCTAGCCTGCTCCTTTGCTTACTACTGGCGCTGGTGGGGGTGGGGGGAGGAGGAGCAGGAGCTGGGCATGGGGGAGCCGCACACGGAACCGGGACCGGGACCTGAACCTCAGGATTAGGACCAAAATTAGTAGGTACGGTCTAGGATTTTGTCCTCGCCTCTTTTACTCACCGGGTAGTACTGCGGAACCGGAACGGGGACCGGCACCGGCATCGGGGCTGGTGGTGGTGGCGGTGGTGGTGGGGGAGGGGGAGGAGGACACGGCGGGAGCGGAGGCTCACACACCGGGCACGGCGCCATCTCGCACACCGGGCAGCATTGCATGACCGGCTAAAGGAGTTATAATGATCGGATCAATTATTATGAGGGTATTCTGTCCCATCCGACCGGCCACCGACCTTTGTATCTCCGCTTCCGATTGGCCTATAGGGTTGTAAAGTATACCAAAACGTTCGTCTTGATGTGGCGAAGTATTTTGGTATACTTTACATCTTTATAGCAAACAAGGGAGCGAGATTCAAGCGAGGCGGTCGTTGTTTCTCGCTATAACCCCAGACTTACCGGCGGTGGTGGTGGGGGTGGTGGAGGCGGAGGCGGGCAAGGTGGGCTCAAGCAGGGGCATGGTGGAGCGGCACATCCCACTGGGACACCTGAAGTTTGGGGTAACAGGAGTTTCTGCAGAATTGTTGCTTCCCCTTGCACGATTAGTAAGCCGTTAGAGATGGTAGTCCTTGTCATAGACAAGTTACGAGGCAGATACCCAAAGCAGTTTACAAGAGGAGTCGAAAAGTTGAGGTTCCCGGAATTGAGAAGTTTTGTTATGAATTTTAGAGGCATATGACCTTTTGCGTAGTTTAGAAAGGCGTTGAAAAGTTTAGAAAATTCTCTAGCAAGTTTTAGAGGGTTTTTAGTAGTAAAGAACCGTTTTTGAGGTTGTTAGAGATGTAGAAGCGTTTAAGCGTTAGAAAAAGCTCTGAGAAGCCGTTTAGAAGATTCAGAAAATGCGTAAAACATGTCCAAAAGTACAGAAAAGCTTTTGAATAGCCAAGAAGAAGCCGTTTTCAAGGTTAGCTTAAGTGGAAAATGTTATTAGACTGGCCTGCCGATGCGAAGTACTGACCGAGGCGCAGCTGGGCGCTGGCTGAGACGAGGAGAATGCTAAAGGATTGATTTAAAGGGGCCGCCAAGTCGAAAGCCCAATCCGAAGCCAATGCGCTTACCTGAAGAAGGCGAGTTGAGACTTCATGGTGGATCTGAGGATTGGGGGCACCGGGTCCCATTTATACCAGCCCCCAGGTGGCAGGATTCGGGCGAAAAACGGGGCGGACGCGGACGCGCCAATCCGGACACACCCACCCGGCGAGAAAGTGGAAGAGTGTGGAGGGACGAAGATATGCATGGTTTGCGCACTAGCGCGGATTTCCACAACGGCGGATGTGGCACAGGTCGCGCAATAGCAAGCAACCGTTCAAAATCGAATTCCATGTCGTAATTCAGGGTTTTCTTTTCGTAAAACTCAAAGGAATGTTTACAAAAGAAATATTTATCGAAACAGAACAACAAAAACTATAAATATTTGGTAGAAACGAACAATAACAACTTTTTCATCCATTTTCAACGGGATTCACCTCCGCGGCTTTCTGCTGTGCTCTTTCCTGCGCCAGCAAAGCATTTCGTGCCTTTTTACTTTCGAGTCTATAATTTTCAGATGCTTCTCTGATTGGGGTATTTTTGGACTTAGCAATTTTTGCGAGCTTTTCGTGCTTCTCTTCAGTCGGAAATTCTTTTATCTGATTTGACAGATATTCGTCTAGAGCCTGGACCTTGTCGGTGTTGCCTGAGGAGCATTAATACGCATTGAGTATTGCCTAAGCCTAAGCATTAATAAGCATTGGTTGATAACGATTTACACTTTATACTTCGTTTACTGGAATCAAAAGTGCTCAACAGCTTTTGGTCTTATAGAAACCAGCGTACATTTCGAACGCATAGTCGAGGGCTAGATGGCTCGACGACTCAACATGCTTCTTCCTCTCCATGCTCACGGAGGCGTTTCAGAGTGGAGTATTGATTAGGACATATTGCAGACAAATCCATCCACGCCACTTGCATCTTCTACGTCTCCGGCAAAGATAATCCATCGTGCTGGTAAGCATGCCTGCGCAAAGTGGTATGATAAAGGTATATAGTTACAAGCAAGTGATGCACAAGCAAGCCGCTTACGAGACTTTTAAAGTGAGCATTAGGCATTTTCAAACGTGCGAAACAATTAATCTACAGAACGGCTAATCAGGTATGAAGAAGAAAGCCGCGGAGGTGAATCCCGTTGAAAATGGATGAAAAAGTTGTTATTGTTCGTTTCTACCAAATATTTATAGTTTTTGTTGTTCTGTTTCGATAAATATTTCTTTTGTAAACATTCCTTTGAGTTTTACGAAAAGAAAACCCTGAATTACGACATGGAATTCGATTTTGAACGGTTGCTTGCTATTGCGCGACCTGTGCCACATCCGCCGTTGTGGAAATCCGCGCTAGTGGTTTGCGCTGTCGCTGCCTTGCAGTTACTGTATTCGGACCAGAATGTGGTGGTTTGGAGCTAGCAGAGATTCTTTGGGAAATTCTTGACACCTGACTGTCTGTATGAGCTCAAAAATGAGTCGATCTCGGGCAAGCAAGCAGGTATTTTTCGAGGAATTTTACTAAATCGGGATGCAAGGTCGCCTGGTAAATAAATTGTCATGAGCTGCCCAGAAGCTTCTGGATCCCCGGCAAGCTAGCATAGACTTTGTGATAATTTTGGTGTCGTTGTGTAGGTTTGAGCAAGCTAGCACGGACCTTTGAGTAGCCTGGGCCTATCCACCTTTATGGCAAGCTAGCAAAGGCTTTTCGGAAATTTCAGTGCCCATAGAATAGCCAAATTTTTTTGGGATCCCCTTTTTTCGAATTTTCTGCTAGCTTGCCTTGCCTCGTGGATATCCAATTTTCTGAAATTTCGGATTCCCTCCTTTCCTTTGGTTGAAATTGATCTTTGGCCAATTTCCTCATGCGATTGTTCCAGTTATTCCGGTCTTTGCAAAGAGTACGCCCGCGTACTCTTTACACAGATCGTGGGACCTCTTCTGACATCTGTCAACCCGCGGGGTCCCACCGCGAACCGCACATCCCCAAATGCCCCCCACCCCCACGTAACTGGTCCAACTTCGCCTAGCTGTCCGGCTTCGTTTTGTTGGCTTAGCTATCGCAAAGCTTACAAGGGAACCACCTAAGGTCAAGGTGGCATTTCGTTATGGGACCCAGCTTATTTTGTGCAGAATTTTTTGCTGATTTCGAATCCGCTTTTATTTTTTGCTAAATAGCCCAATTTAAAAAGTTATAGCGTTTCAAAGTTCCATTTTTTCCCAAATTTTCGAACTTCAAAGTCATTTATCTGGCCTTTCCCGGCTGATTCCTCAAAAACAAATATCGCCATCGTATTCAGAAAAATTTTCTCTATCGAATGAACTATTTAACTCAAAATTGTTGAAAACTGAAAAAATCGACGATACTCCGTCGATTTTTTTCCCGTCGATTGGACTCCGTTTTTTGTATGGGACATGGTGAAAAATTGCCTATTTCACACCCCCGTAAGTGATCGTCGATAGGTCGTAGCGCACTAATGAAATATACCAATCGAATCAGAAAAATTCTCTACAAGACAGGCTATTAAAAATCGTCTGCCCTATTAAAATAAAAAAAGTTGTGCATCGTGACAGATGACTTCCCGCGGGCACAGATATGACCTTAAAATCGCTATAACTTTTTAAATTGGGCTATTTAGCAAAAATTGAAAGCGGGTTCGGAATCAGCAAAAAAATCTACACAAAATAGGCTGGGTCCCATAACGAAACGCCACCTTGAACTGAGGTGGTTCCCTTGTTAGAAGGCTAAAATTTTCACATTGCCTATTTTTGTGAGAATTTTTGAAGGGATTTGATTGGATTTTTTCTGTACTTTTTTGATTGAATTTGAAACTGTTGATGACGTTACCCAACGATTTTATTAGCTTTGCAAATCCGGTATAGTAGCTTGAAGACACCCGTAGAACGACGAGACCGAACAGAATTGAGATTAGATGGTTGATTCGAGTATTATTGGACGGTGGCGAAGCGGAGGAGCTTCCTCCTTGAAGAGGTCCGTCTGGCGTCCGAGTCGTCGTCTAAATGTAAGATATTTATAAATAAAGATGGAGCTGCTTTTCCTTAAGGGTCTCTGCTAGTTCGCCTGGGTCCTAAATAATCCCTGCTAGATCGCCAAAATTTGCGATAAATTGCTCTGGTCCAAGCTCCGTTCTTCAGAAAAACGCCTGGTTTGGTGAAGCCTCAAAATGATTTTTTTTTCTACTAGAGGTCTGGTAGTCGATTTGCTATCATAATGTCGCAATTCAGAATCAAAATTGTCGAAAAAAGGGTCTAAGTTTTTCCGGGAAAATTAGCTTATGTAAATTTCGATATTATGAAATTGCGACTTGATGAAAATTCGACATTATGATTTTCGACATTTTGAAAAAGCCTCTAATAGACAGCCTATATAAAAAGCGTGCTCTCCTCAAGAACCTCTGCTAGCTTACCCCACGCATCTAAAAGCGCATTCCTTGCAAGCCCCTTTCAAAGCCCCACCAGCACAGATCTCATCCTCGACCCGAATGTCGCTATGCGAGCTCGTCCTCCTCGAGAGTGGCTGACGACTGCCCTGCGATTGGCTGAACTTCTCCGCATTCGATTTTCGGCGCCGATTTTCGACCTAAGTTGTACGATATAAGATCAAATTTCGTAGCCTTACCTCATCGGGGAGCACCGATAACTCGAGGGCTTTCTGGGCAGCTAGTGCTGTAGTTAGGGCCACGCCGTTCACCTGGAAAATTTTAGTAATGGACAATTTTTTGTGGCTAGTTAATTTGAAGTGGTTTAAAGGGCCCTAAAGGTCTAAATCCACACCTTCTTGCGCTTCTGCAGCCCCAGCCAGTGTTTGATGATGGTGCGGTACTTTGAGGAGAAGATCATGTAGACAAAGATGGACGAAGAGGAGTTGAGGGAGATTAATAGATTCGCGATTTCGACCGACATCTCGAAGAGTTCGTTCTGAACAGGTTGATCATGTTTTTTGCGATGTTGATGATCATGATAGCAGAGACTATTTGAGTTTGGATAAGTCCTTTTCCTGCCAAATTCCATTTCGTAGCTACTTTTGAGAGCTAAATTCACCTTCTAGCGCTTGCCAATCCCTTTAAAACTTGCCAAGACCTACCGAAAAGGTGAGCAGCTGCTCGCGGACGAGGATGTCGATCAGGTTATTACACAGGGCCAAACAATTGCAAAACAGAAAAATTCCGACGATCGCCAGCAACATCATCGTCACCGAGCGATCCCTGACGCTGTTGCTGTTCGTCTTCAGGAAGGAGGGGGAGCGGAAATTTCTGAAAAAAAATAGGATAAAATGCCCTTTCTCTCTGTCTCTCTCGCTCTCTCTCTCTCTCACACTTTCTACTCACTGCAATCCCGTCATCTTGCTGAGCGTGTTGAACAGCTCGGTGTACTTGGAGTTCCTCAGCATCCGGAATTGGTTCATCACCATTGTCCTGCTAAAGGGATGGTTTTTATATGTTGAAGCTTAGGCCTAAGTCTCACCTAAGCCTAAGTCTAAGCCTAAACCGAAGCCCAAGTCTAACAAGCAAACAAACACCAAAAACCCACGATGCCGTCGACTTCTTCGACGAGTGCATCTGCCGTAAATTCTTGCTCTGCTGCAGCGCGATAATGATCCGGCAGTTGACGATGATCAGGATGGCGAACGGGATGATGAACATCACCATCGTGTAGCCAATCACCTGAAAAAGGGAGATGCACGTTTTAAAGCGACGTATCAGGCAGTCTCGGAAATTTAGAAAATTCTGACCTTGGCGACGATGCGGTAGATGTAGCCCTGCTGGAATTCCGTCAGCCCGACTTCACTAAAAATTTCTGAGGTTAGGAAATGCCTTTTTCACTCACTTAATCACTGAATTGAATTTCGGCTCGAAGCAGGGGGGTGATGAACAGCTCGAACCAGGTGGGCACGTTGATGAGGATCTAGATTGGTGCAAATGGGAGAAAGTTATCCAAAAAATCTCTGTTTGCCTCTTCCTCAACAATCTCTGCTAGCCTGCCCTTCTCGGGGACTTACCGAAAACAATATTGATCCCCCGATGGCTGCTTTCACTGGGCGACCGGAAACCCATCTTTTCGCTCGAAATGGGTGACAAACACCTTAAAGGGAAAATTTCATACCTCTCTCTCACTCTCTCTCTCGCTCTCTCTCTCCCTCACTCTCTCACTCTCTCTCTCTCGCTCTCTCCGTTTTCACTTACCCAAATATCGATGAACCGAGACAAGTACGGTCAAGTAGACACCGCACGTCTGCGTCGTCAACCCGATCGGATAGGCGTACCTTGAATTTCAGATTTACTGAGGGAAATGATCTCTGTTATCCTGCCCCCTCACGAATACTTAAGGTATACCATCATCTACAGAAATTTTAGTTATATTCTTACCACAAAGCCACAGGATAGGCATTGTGTAGATCGACCCTAGACGACATGTTGGAGATGACCGGGAGGATGAGGAAGAAAAAGTTGCATATTAAGAGCAGCAGATCGGAGAGGGAGAGGGCCAACAGGAAGTGGTTGACCAACTGGACCCGCATCTCCACGTCGAGGAAGACAACTGAAAAACTGGGTCTTCTCGTGTTATGCAAGCAGTAACGAGTTAAGGAGCTTGGGCTTAGGCTCAGTCTTAAGCTTAGGCTTAGGCTTGTCAAAAAGCTCACCAATATTAATAATATTCGTGAACATGCCAAATACAGAAATTGGCATGTTGCCAATCAGGCGCAAGTCGATTTGCTCCTTCGTGAAGACGCTGCCGCCGCAGTGGGTGGCATTCTCTGGGTTATTCCACGACCCGTTCCCTGGGTTGTCCATTTCTGATAATAAATCACTAGGGTTAAAATCGCTTAAACTTACAACTATTAAATGACATCGAAAACAAAAATAATTTTAATTTTCTTCACTTCAATGACAAATTCCGACGACGTCTCCAACCCTAACCGGGGCACCGGTGCAAAAATATTCCCCCCCTGACGCCCCTTTTTGAAAGAAGACGAAAAGGGCCGGCTGATGATGGTGGTGGAATGGCAATTAAAAGTAGCTTTTCCGAGGAGATGGCCAATGACTAATTGCCGGACGGAGGGCCCTACGAAGCAATTCTCTTAACGATAGAAAGGTCATCGAATTAAGGAGAATTCGTTTTTTATCGCGGTATTAGTGTAGCACAACACATGTCGGGCAAGGTAGCAGAGATCATTTAGGAAGAGGCGAGAGAGGGCAGACTAGCAGAGATTGTTGAGGAAGAGGAGAGGGCAGGCTAGCAGAGATTGTTGAGGAAGAGGAGAGGGCAGGCTAGCAGAGATTGTTGAGGAAGAGGAGAGGGCAGGCTAGCAGAGATTGTTGAGGAAGAGGAGAGGGCAGGCTAGCAGAGATTGTTGAGGAAGAGGAGAGGGCAGGCTAGCAGAGATTGTTGAGGAAGAAGAGAGGGCAGGCTAGCAGTGATTATTTTGGAAAAATGAGCAATCTAGCAGGACCATTTTTCAGATTCATTTCCGAGACAAATCCACTCAAAGGTTTTGAACCCAGGCAGGAATTTCCCGGCGCTGATCCAATCGAAAAAATTCGGGGCGTCTAATCCGAGCTCCCATTCATCCGGGGGCTCCACCCCCATAGGTCGGCCCCGGGTTAAAAAATGTACCCTCTGGGTGATAAAATGAGCGGATTCAGGGGGCCTAGACTATGGTTTAATTGGAGGAGGAAGAGGAGCAGGCCCGGATTGGTCTTAAAGGGATTAAAACACAGAAAAAAGGCATAAAAAAAGAAAGCCGAGCAATTGGCGAGACAATGAATGCGACGGAAAATAAAGTACCGTGTTCCTAAGTGATCGCCGCTAGCCTGCCCTTTCCTCTTCCTCAACAATCTCTGCTAGCCTGCCCTTTCCTCTTCCTCAACAATCTCTGCTAGCCTGCCCTTTCCTCTTCCTCAACAATCTCTGCTAGCCTGCCCTCTCCTCTTCCTCAATAATCTCTGCTAGCCTTCAAACTGCAGTAAAATTCGCGCCAAGTGAGAGTGGGCGATAAATTTGGAGCCGGGAGTTAGAGAAGCTTCACGGCCCCCGGAGGGCTGTGAAGCCCTCGGCGGCCAGTTTTTAATCCCGTGCCCCCAGGGCATAAATGCAAATGTTGAGCCCACACATCCCCACGGCAGCTTCACCGTTTTTGCTCGACCCTGGCATAGATGTGAACACTTTTCGGGAATGTTCGAGAACGAGTTATTACTGGCTAGGAAGAGTTGGGAGTTTTGAAGAAACCTGGAAGGAGGGCAGGCCAGCAGAGATTGTTGGGGAAGCGGACAGGGCAGGCTAACACAGATCGTTGAAGAATGGCAACATTCCAAAAGTTTCCGAATTCCACTTTACGTCCCAGTTCGCCGCAAAAACGGGGAACGCTCCGTAACCCCCGGTGAGTTATGGCGTTGGTCCAAGCGAAAAGGAGAAGCTTCAGCGCTATTTGTCTCGAAATTCCTCAAGGACGGCCGGCCCTTTTTAGTTTCCTGGAAAAATAACAAAGCGAAAATCTGGCTTGACCGCGCTCGGAGCACAGCAAGTGGCTGGGGGTGCGCTGGGTTTTGGTTTTGGGGCGTTTAGAACATTGCCTCCTTAGAGATGGTACTGGACACCTAGCATTAGCGAAAAACTTGGCCTCAGCGTAAGTCTAAGCCCGGGCCTAAGCAAAACTAATTTTTGACGTTTTCGTAACATTCTAAATTTTTATCAACACCGTATGAAAACAGTAATCAAATTTTATGACCCTTTAGTGGTCAAAAACAGTTTAAGAAACCACAAAACTACAAAAATCCATTATAATATGCTAAAAAGCCGGCGGCTGGCTCCCTCACTAAAACTCCTCCCCCCACTAACAGTCCATTACCACGAAGCGAGACTTTTGAGGAAGGCGGGCTATCAGAGAGCATTTAAAAATTTAAGAAGGGTCTCAAAAGTGCTAGAAGGATGGTCAGCCAGCAGAGTTTGTGGAGGTGCTATCCATGACTTTGATGTAAACAAAACAGCTTCGGAGACTTCATAGCTAGGGTAGCGAGCAGAGACGCTTGAGGACCGGCAGGCTAGCAGAGATCATTGAACCCATTCCCAGATGTGACGATGGTTGCCCTTTGCTGTCCCCCATGCTAGTGTCCCCTAATGGCAAGTGGATGGCCCCTCCTAGGGCCACACCGACGAATCGGTGTGTGGGACCCGAGGGCACAGGGAAATTCGGGAATCCCATTACCGCCTCGTCGGCTTTTCGCCCCTTGCTAGCCATTAGGGAACGACCAGGGACCCGGGACGCCCGAAGGAACGGCTTTTTTGTTTTGTGTTTTTTTGCAGCGTTTGGGTCGTTCCGTTACACGACATGGAACACAAGGAAATGAAAATGACGAAAATTTGGTTGCCGAAATGATTTTAGAGCCTAAGCCTAAGCCCTATGCCTATCGATATGGGCGATTTCCATGGCCGACCTCTGTTAGCCTAAGCCTAAGCCTAAGCCTAAGCCTAAGCCTAAGCCTAAGCCTAAGCCTAAGCCTAAGCCTAAGCCTAAGCCTAAGCCTAAGCCTATCGATATGACCGATTTCCATGGTCGACCTTTGTTGGTCTAGGTCTAAGCCTAACCCTGAGTTGTCTATGCCTAATTGAGCTGTTCTCATATCTTTCAAAAGTGCGAAAGTTTTACAGTATTACAAAAAATCACCTAGTAATGGACCAGGAAGCCTTTAAACGTTTTGTCTGAGTCAGTCACTTTTACGGGGCGAGGAACGACGGGATTAGAGGATTTTTGCGCGCAGGGACAAGACTCGGGTCGCCACTTTAATCAGACGTCCCCCCCACCCCCTGGTCCGGCGCGTAATCAAACAGGAAATAGGTATTCGAGGAGTTTCCGGTTCCGCGACACAACAGCGTACGTGCCAAAAATTGGGGCATTAGGGGGAGGGGTGAATGGGGTCCAAGCGGCTGCAAAGTAGAGTATGTCTTTTTTGCATCCTTTGAGTTCATGGTTTTTTGGGTTTGGGTTTAACTGTCACGTTCCCTTTAAAGGCTTCCTGACAAATGCCATAACCCTGAAAATCGTACCTAGCCACTTTGGATCTTGACAAAAGCTGATTCAGGAAGAGGAGAAGGCAGGCTAGCAGAGATTGCTGAGGAAGAGGAGAGGACAGGCTAGCAGAGATTGTTGAGATCGGCGCACTAATAGATAGTTTCAAAAATCAATTAATTCAAATGCAACCGCGTGGGGTATGGGACACAATATAAAATCGAAAGAATAGGCGAGGGGGAAGAAGACCCAATGAGGGGAAGCAAATTGTCACACCGGCGGGACTGATGCCCGGATTATCTGCTCCGACCACATTGAATGGATCGGATTTAATTTCTACAGCCATTGCCTATCTATCCCTTGCGAGAATCCCTAGAATCCTGCCGGGTTGTGAGGCCGAGCCCGGCTACGAAGCAGCCTCAATTTGCATGCATTCCTGGGAATTTTCAGGCGAGTGCGACGTCGCTAGATTATAGCAGGAAAAGTGGGGGATTTCTTCATTTTATTTCGGGGTTTTTGCATGTAAAAAACCCGAAAAAGTTCAACATCTGAAAGACAAAAATCATATATAAAATTTCTCGTAGTTTTTAAAAAAAAAGACGAAGAATTGTTGCGATTTATACAAGTTAATTGCCTGTCTAATCTTAAAATTCCGATAGGCTACTTTTTGCATCAAGGAAGAAGCCCTTTGCGGGGTGTAAATTAGGATTGGGCCCGGCTGAATTCCTGAAGGGTGACGCCGGAAGCAGAAAACAACCCCTTTCGGCTGTAGGCTCACTTTTTCAAGCAGAAAAGTTAGCAGATATTATTGAGGAAAGTGAAAACTAGGAAATCAAGCTAACAGGCGCAAAATGCGTATACCAGCGGCTTTTGGGGGCTCAAAAATGCATTTCCAAGCTAGCAGAGATTTTTAGGAAAGGAGTAGCACTGGGAGCATGAGCGTGAGCGCGAGTAACACGAGCACTAGTACCATGAGAACAGAATTGACGATGTTTTTGTCGAATTATGAAGCAATCTAGCAGCGCTAGTTTCAGAAATTTTAAAGGAAGCGTGAAGTATAGATAAATTGAAAAATCTGGCAGGCTAGCAGGGATCATTTATGAGGCGCGGAAAGTTCGAAAAAACAGAGATTCTAGCAGAAATACAGAGCAAATTCTAAAATTTTGCGTGAAGGGCAGGTTAGCAGAGATCCATTGCGGAAAATGGGCCGAACTGCGCCAAATGATTGCCAAATCCCCCTCTAAAATCAGCTGACCTATCCCCCGGCACATAACAACAGGCAAAGAAACCCACTTTTTCGGTTCATTTTGGCACTTTGACGTGCGCTTTCCGGGCTCATCAACTACACGCCGATACGCTGGCGTACGGATGGAGGAAAGGGGCCGTAAACACGCGGAATTCCGTCATTCAGAGGGAGCGGGGCGGATTTGGGGCCCGATGGCGGGCCATAGGTGTGCAATGGAATCAAAGAATGGGCGCCTATTGAGGCGAATCTACGGAGTGGGGTGAGTGGGGTTTCCTGGGCAGGGCAGGCTAGCAGAGACCATTTAAGAATCCAAAGGAACCAGAAACATGGCTTTTGAATAAGGGCAGGCCAGCAGAGATCATTGAGGAAGTTCCTAAAACCCAAACTTCAGGCAGGCTAGCAGAAACCTCTCAGGAACTCGCCTAACAAATTGTCGTATCCTCGCCCAGTGCCCTCGGGCTATTAACTCCTTTGGGGGGACGGGGATAGGTGTGTAGCGGAATTGGGTGTTTGGACACAAAAAAGGGGAGGCCCCCCTGGCCTGAGAAGAAGATTGGCGCTGATGTGCTGAATAATGAATATAGGGAGGGGGATGTGCCCTGGCTCTTTATCTCTCTCGCGCGCTCTCTCTCTCTCTCTCGCCCTGTTCCTTAAAATGTGCCCTGGGGCAAAATGATGGGAGACCCCAGTGCCCTGATCTGCATAAAAGCTTAAGGGACGAATAAATATACACCCGCTGATTGGGGTAATTTTTCTTGGGCTAATGACGAGGACCGAGAGTCAAAGCAGTATTTGCAGCATGCGGCAGGCTAGCAGAGATTGTTGAGGAAGAGGAGGGGCAAGCTAGCAGAGTTCGTTAGAGAAACGGGGTCGAAAATTCCTAGGCTAAAACACAACTTTTTGGGTAGCTGAGGTGGGAATTTTTGAGGATGATTGGCGTGGGTGAGCCCAATTTATACCCAGTTCCACTAATTCACCTCGCAACTTCCCAGCGAGAAAGAGAGAGAGAGAGAAAGCTTCATATACTTCTTGGATAAGTTCTAAAGACCATAATCAAGCTAGCAAAGATCATTTGGGCAGTACGAATGGCGCACTGAAGGTAGTTGTGCTCTTTTTGGACCCGTTCCACTTGTAAATGCATTCCACATGGGGCCCATGTGCCCTAGTTAATTCTGAACCCATCTTTGAAGACCCTTTTTCCAAAGCACTAACATAAATAAAGGGAAAAAGCTGACCCTAGCCACCATCGGATGCATGGATCTGGTCGGGATCAGCTTTTTTACCCAATTTTTAGGCAAAAAGGCTCGTTTCCGCAGCTTCCGGAAAGGGCCAAAATAAGCGAACGACGTGCAAAAGCAGGAAAAACACGATAAGCTATGCTTTCTACGTGAAATTTGCAAGAAACCAGGATATAAATTTTGAAACCTAATCTAGATCTGAGCCTAAGCTCAAGTTCAAGCTTAAGCCTAAGCAAGCAAGGTAAACTAGCAGAGAACACCGAGGAAAATGGCCCATCTTAACTTATCGGTCCTTCAAAGAAAAGGATGTTTGATCCAAAATGCCACAGCATCCAACATAACAGCCAGCCAGTACGCACCGCTACTATGGCTTCCACCGTAAAAAGGCGCCGATCGGAATAAGGAGGAAATGAGGGGCGGATTGGCTGGATAGGCAGAAACCCCCGGAAATCAAACTAGACTCGCCCTCTCTCTCTATCACTCTCTCGCTCTCTCTCGCTATCTCTCTCGCTCTCTCGCTCTGGCTCAAGCCCGGGTCCGCAAAAGTCCATCCGGTTTGACGTCTATTCAGGTGAAGCCGTACGATCGAAATTGGCAACCGGCGAGATCAGGAAGGGAAATTGGGAGGCAGGGTAGCAGAGATCATTGGGGGAAACGGAGTCGCGCTCTTGCTCATTTTCTCTCGCTCTCTCTCTCTCTGCGTCTCTCTCCCCGTTTCTCTCTCGTCGTGTCTCTCTCTCACTCGCTCTCGCCCTCTCTCTTTCTACCTCCCTCTTTCTCTCTCGCTCCCTCTCTGGCTCTCTCCCTGCGAACCGAACTCTCGAACGGAGGGAGCTAGCAAAGACCATTTGAGAATCGAGACCTAGAAAAAATGGGTTTGAGGCAGGCTTGCAGAGATCATTTGGGAAAATTTCCGATCTGTCAGGTGATTCGTATCGAAGCATTAATGAAAGACTAGGCTTGTGCTTAGGCTTAGGGTTAAGCATAGGCTTGGGTTTAGGCTTAGGTTTAGGCTTGAGCTCTGAAATTTTTTGAAGCTGCCAGGTGTCAAAGACCTTCTCCAAAAAGCCTGAACCCGAAAAAAACGTTTTCCCCAATGAAACGGGGCTCGAAATTAATGGGCGCGACGACACGATCGGTCGGGCCCTGAGCACCAGGAGAGGAGACCCACAACTGGGTCCCCCCTTCACACCCCAAAAGGAGATTAACTGCCCCGGGAGACCGAGAGGGGGGAGACTCGTCACATAGCCATAGACCCACCCAGTCACACATTCTCCCTCCACCTACCCCTTATTCCATTTTTTTTTTGGAGAGGAAGAGGATAGCCGCCTGGATGGGGTGGTGGTAGGGGGAAGGGATTTTTGAGGCCTTAAAGGGTTTGCTTAGGCGCATTAAAGGGTCTCTGCTAGTTTGCCTCTGACCTAGTGCGATTCTTGAGAGATCCTCTGCTAGCTTGCCCTACCTCGAAAATTTGTCAAAAAATCTCTGCTAGCTTTCTCTAGCGATTCGGCCCTCAAGTTGGCCGTGCTAGCCGCTTTAACTTAAAATCTGCTCAACTGATCTCTGCTAGCCTGCCTGATCTCATCGAATGTCCTAACTGATTACCGCTAGCTTGCCCTGGCCCCAAAACGTCTTAAGAAAATCCGCTAGCTTGCAGTCCTCTTCCTCAACAATCTCTGCTAGCCTGCTAAGTTTGAAAAAACACCGAAGCGAGCTTTAAAAGGAAAATTACCATGATAGTCGCGAAGCTAACCCAACAATTCGTCGAATTGGACATAGCCCTCCAAATACCAACCCCACGATCAAGGTCAGCTGCCGGGGACCACCCCCAGCTTTTTCGCAAGCAATATAAACCCGATCTGTCAGGGTCGCTCAGGTCGAGGGGCAGGCAATAGCTTACCCGAAAAAGCGGCCAAAATATGGTCGCGGTGTCAGGATTTATTACAGCAATTATTTGAGGGCAATAAATCAGGCTACAGTATACCGAAGGAAAAAGCATCTGTATTCAGAGCTCTTGGGCAGGCTAGCAGAGACGATTTGAGGCAAGCACGCAACGAAAAATGCAGTTAAAGGGAGCGTGACACTCGGAAAAACATTTTAAAAGGGTGGCCCTGCCATGGTAGGCTAGAAGAAACGGTTTGAGGCAAGCAAGTGTCGAAAATACATTTAAAGGGATCGTGACAGCTGTATTACTCATTTTCCATACCCAAGAGCGACACCGGCCACTAGAAATTCTGCTAAACCTTACCCCAAAAAAATTAATCCGCATGGAAACATATCACAAAAATACCAAGCATTGGGAAATTGCCCGCTTCAGCAGCCTATAATCTGCCCCTTTTTGTCACCAGCACAATGTTCCGTCAATATTTTAATTAAGCAAATCCGGCATCGAATAAAAATGTACTTTTTTCGGATTAGCCACTAAATTTTTGGATTTAGCAAGAATCTGGAGCAGGAATGGAAAAAAAGCCAAAAATTTCCGGGGCGCCCAATTTGCGGGATTGAGCTCCGGCCGGGTGGAGCTTTACGATGTAGTAAACGGGCGGAGAGTATTGGAAACTAAAAGGATTCCCTGGAAGCTGAGCCCAAGCCTAAGCCCACGCCTAAGCCTATACCTAAGCCTAAGCCTAAACCTAAGCCTAAGCCTAAGCCTAAGCCTAAGCCTAAGCCTAAACCTAAGCCTAAGCCTAAACCTAAGCCCAAGCCAAACCTAAGCCGAAACCTAAACCTCAGCCAAAGCCCCTGCCTAAGCCCGTGCCTAAGCCGTCCTGTAGTCCTGTAACGCAGGTTTGAGAAGCAATTCTTTATCATCATAAGGTAAGCACCAAAAATTCAAGCAGCAAAAATGATCAATGTTCGAAAATATACAAAAATTTGAGGCACATTCCGAAACCACAGGCAAGCGATAGGAGGAGGCGTCAACAAATTAACATACAATTTGAAAGCCAAGGGGGACCGGGATGGCAAATTAATTTACATACAATATTTTCAACGCGACGAGCTGGCTCGCAGAGATGGTTGTGGAAGTTTGTGCCCAGCCTTCAAAAATAACAAATATTCATAAAATCACATATTGACGTTGTGGGCGGGAAAAACGAGGGGGGCGGATATGCAAATTTGAGGCGGAAATTCGGGGAAAACGTGGACTTTAATGCACTAAAGCTTGTTGAACTTTTTTGTAGGAGTAGTAGGTCCAGTAGACGATCTGAAAAGTAAAAGTTGCCATTGGTGTTTTCGTAGAAATAAGCCTAGGCCTAAGCCGTAGCCTAAGCCTTCAGTCTCGAGTTTCCAGAACCTACATTAAAAATGGCGAACGCTGTCGGGAAGAGCACACTCGAGATCTTGTCAATTTTCTCTGGTGGCCAGCTTCCGAGATCAGGAAGGTAGAAGCGCCACGTGAAGCCGGCTAAACACAAGAATTGATCCAAAATTCCGTAGTTTTCTAGATGTCACCACCCCTTTAAAACGACTCACATGTTCGATCAAGCGGCAACATGAAGCGCTTGTCGACGCGTATCAAGTTACCGTTGTTGTTCGTCTCGAAGTGGTCCAGCTGCAACAGGGGGGGTTACCAGCTGAAAAGGAGGCGTGAGGAGCTGTTGCTCAATCGGCTTTGCCTGGTTGCCAAAGGTCAAGCCTAAATCCAAGCTGAAGCCTATGCCCAAGTCTGAGCTGAGCCTAAGCCCAAGTCTAAGCCTATGCCAAGCCTAAGCCTAAGCCTAAGCCTAAGCCCAAGCCTAAGCCTAATCCTGGGCCTAAGCCTAAACTTCGTTCTCGACCTACCTTTGGCACGCATAGACTTTTCCGTTTCTTCTTTGCCCCCGGCATCTCGTCCTTTACCTAGAAATATGCAAATTAGCTTGTTCAAATTGCCATTAAATACCATAAACCCAACGATAGCCAGCTCCACCAAAGAGGCGAAGATGAACGTCATCGAGGCGAGCATCCATACGTCTACAATTGCAACTAATTTAGGTTTTTATATAGCTTACCGATTGCTTTAATATAGGATACACGAGGGGAGATTTCGCATGATGTTGCCAAATTGGAAAATCATAGCCAGGAGAGCGTTGACTCCTGAAAGAAGGTTGTAAGCTAGAGAGAGAGAGAGAGAGAGATAAAGAGAGTGAGAGAGAGGGAGAGAAGAGAGAGAGACTCACCCAACATTGTCCTTGCCGGGATAGCTCTTGGTCCCAAAGCGAAGCTGATCCAGCTAAAAAACCAGGGATAAAAGGCCTGCTTCCTCAAAAATCTCTGCTAGTCCCGACGTACCTGATAAAAATCGTAAGGTATGTTGGAAGGTACGCTTGCATGAAATACCAGATGTAGCGCCGTTCAAACGTGAGCACGACGTGCAGCTCGTCCCACATACCGGCAGGGTAGGGCTGAAAAAAATCAGAGATAAGCCTGGCTACTTGACTTACCTCTGCAACATGCTCGGTTAGAATATTGACAAGGTCAAAATCAGGGAGCACGATGTCGACAAGCTTCTAAAATAGTAACTTTATCATTGCTAAAAACATTAGGTTAGGCTTGGGCTTACGATTGGGCTTAGGATTAGGCTTAGCCTTGGCATAGGCTTACTTACCCGCACAGCTCCACCCGCATCCGTGCTCCACCTCATTTGCACCTCCTGGTTGTTGTAGTTGAAGCTAAAAGGTAGCAAGTTTTGCATGTAGCACCTTACCTTTCATATATCAAACTACAATTCTGCTGATCCAACGGAAAAAGCGTCAGATCAAGGGAGCAAGGCCCTTTCACGCGGGTCCTCTAAAAAAGGATAAATGCGTCAATAATTTTTGCTAGCCTATCCTCTCTCTCCCTCTCTCCCAGGCTCTCACTATCTCTTTCGCTCGCTCTATCTCTCTCTTTCTCTCTCTCTTTCTCACTCGCTCGCTCTCTCTTTCTCTCTCTCTCTCTCTCTCTCTCTCTCTCTCTCTCTCTCTCCCCTTCCAACCGAGAAAACTTCCAACTTACGTAGTTTACCCAAACCGTCCCATTCGGATAGAGCATCAAGAACACATTTCTAAAAATTGGAATAACCAAATACTTCAAAATCAAGCCATACTTGAAGGGCGAGTCGTGAATTTCGGCCACTTTCGAGTTGATGAAGCAGCTATTCGGTGTCCAAAGACGATCGAAAACCTGAAAATTTTCATTTGGCAAAGTTTCTAAAAATTTTCGATCCAGAGCTCGTGATATATGTCACTTTTCAGCTTGCAAACCTGATAGCTGAGCGACAAATTCTGCTTGCACGGGTTGAGGTGTTCGAATTTCAACGCGGGGTCCATCCACATCTCATTAATGTAAATGTCCATCTAAATGGCTGGTTGAAGACTCCTAAGCCTGAGCTCACCTCGAAGTCATTGGTAATCTCGTTAATCGATTCGATGGCTTGAATCCAGAATTCGACAATTACCCGCACGCCTTCATCAGCTGAACAATGATCATGGTCTCAGCTCGGAATCGAATTCGGATTTGAAAATTTGCACACCTATAGAGCTCGACGAGACAAATCGATTGGTGTAACTTTCAGCTGCTGATACAATAAGCACGCTGAGTTATAAGCATTTTAAGTTTTTGCATACATTTTGCAAATGGTCGGCCTTAGCTTCATAGGCCTTCCCCGCCTCCCCATCACCATGGTCTGGTGGCCTAGTGGTGTAGTAGTCGGCCCCAGGGGAATATAACGAGGGTTCGAACCCGCTCACGACTTTTATTTTTTGCTTTCGTCCGAAGGTTCCTCTTTGCTTTCTGAGGACCTTGCATAGCTTTTACGCATTATTTTAACTCCTCTGGTGCGAAATGGCTTATAAACATCTCTTTGAACAAAATTTAAATTTTTTTACCCGAAAGGACTATGCCGGTCCCAAAATAAATTGAAAATTCAAAGCATATCAAAAATCGTGGAGTAAACGTAATTTATGGTAAATGGTGTGTTATCCGAACAAAAACTTCCATCCGCCAAAATTTTTTGGAAATGGTAGTCATAGGTCGGACAAGGGCTCGATGCCCAGCAAGAAAAATTTTTGCGGTGAAGTTCGCTGTTGTCGGCGCATCAAAGGAGTTAAAATAATGCGTAAAAAGCTATTCAAGGTCTTCAGAAAGCAAAGAGGAACCATCGGACAAAAAAGCAAAAAATAAAAATCGTGAGCGGGTCCGAACCCTCGTTAGATTCCCCGGAGGCTGCCTACTACACCACTAGGCCACCAGACCATGGTGATGGGGAGGCGGGGAAGGCCTATGAAGCTAAGGCCGACCATTTGCAAAATGTATGCAAAAACTTAAAATGCTTATAACTCGGCGTGGTTATTGTATCAGCAGCTGAAAGTTACACCAATCGATTTGTCTCGTCGAGCTCTATAAGTGTGCGAATTTTCAAATCCGAATTCGATTCCGAGCTGAGACCATCTCCTTGTGAGCGTTGGATTTGCATTTTTGGCGATCTCGCTCTCGCTCTCTCTATCTAATTCTCTCTCTCTCTTCTCTCTCTCTCTCTCTTCTCTCTCTCTCTCTCTCCCTCTCCCTCTCTTTGCTTCAACGTACTGGGTATCCGGAATTTGTTGTAGCCCGTATCGTTCAACAGCTTGTCGATGATGGCTGTGTCTCGGGTACAATTGGGCTGAAAGCTTTTTCTGTGTTTTTTCAGCAATGCTAAATGAGCAAATTTTCATATTAGCGCCACACCGAGATAGATTAACAGCAAAAATTAATAGGGGATCTTTAAGATGTTTTAGATAAAATTTACATTCTCCACTGTCAGCTTGGCCTTTACCCGCTTGCGAACCGCCTAAAAGATGGAGGAAAATGGTATAACAGTTTTAAAAACGGGATTATAAAAATGTTACATTAATGAAACGGCAATTGTTAGAGCACCGCAAAATAAAACGAAAATTAAGTCCTAAAGTTTCAAACAATTGTATTTACCGATCGCCAATCATTTTCCGAGGGGCGACTGTGGCGTTTTGGCGGGTTGAAGGCACGCTAATTTGCATATTTTGCTTAGCTTTGTCAGGCAAGGCTAGCAGAGATTGTTGAGGAAGAGGAGAGGGTAGGCTAGCAGAGATTGTTGAGGAAGAGGAGAGGGCAGGCTAGCAGAGATTGCTGAGGAAGAGGAGAGGGCGGGCTAGCAGAGATTGTTGAGGAAGAGGAGAGGGCGGGCTAGCAGAGATTGTTGGGGGAAGAGGGAGAGGGCGGGCTAGCAGAGATTGTTGCGGAAGAGGAGAGGGCGGGCTAGCAGAGATTGTTGAGGAAGAGGAGAGGGCGGGCTAGCAGAGATTGTTGAGGAAGAGGAGAGGGCGGGCTAGCAGAGATTGTTGAGGAAGAGGGAGAGGGCGGGCTAGCAGAGATTGTTGAGGAAGAGGAGAGGGCGGGCTAGCAGAGATTGTTGAGGAAGAGGAGAGGGCGGGCTAGCAGAGATTGTTGGGGAAGAGGGGAGAGGGCGGGCTAGCAAAGATTGTTGAGGAAGTCGAGAGGGCGGGCTAGCAGAGATTGTTGAGGAAGAGGAGAGGGCGGGCTAGCAGAGATTGTTGAGGAAGAGGAGAGGGCGGGCTAGCAGAGATTGTTGAGGAAGAGGAGAGGGCGGGCTAGCAGAGATTGTTGCGGAAGAGGAGAGGGCGGGCTAGCAAAGATTGTTGAGGAAGTCGAGAGGGCGGACTAGCTGAGATCCTTAGACCTACCGGTCTTCTCGTAAATCTATGGTCATCGTCATGTATTCTGAAACGCTCATCGATGGGCTGACGATAGATGGTCTGCGTTGGAGTGTGCTGGAAGCGCTAAAAACAGTGTTTTTCTTGCTACTTAGCTGTCGCCATCCCTTTAAAAGCATCCTCAAGCTTACCTCATCATCAATGACCTCATCGACAAGATCGTAATCTTTATTGATGACTATGGAAAGTGATAATGTGGTGAAGAGACTTGTTAACAACACATCTGTCAATCGCATTCTGAAAAATTGCAAAAGATGCGACTGTCGGGCCAGCGAATATACTTTTAAACGGAAAACGGATAAGTTAGACAAAGATCAAAATTGAATGAGCATAAGGCTAAACCTAAGCCTAAGCCTAAGCCTAAACCGAAGCCTAATCACACGTCTAAGCCCAAGCCTCCGCATAGCCTAGGAATCCAAAGAGTAACACACAAAATTCGGAAGCATGCGCAAAAACTGGGCCCCTCTGCCCCCGACTTCCTGACGAGGGCCAACGGAGCCTGGTTCCGGTGTGTGTGTGCGTCTCGGGGCTTAAGGTGGCATTTTTTGGGTTCGAAAATATTCAGAAGATTATAACAAGGTTTAATATGACTTACGATATTAAATCTTTGACTATTTGAACGGAGAAGGGGAAGAAAAACAGCTCAAAAAGCCATGAAAAACTCGATTAATAGAATAGGCGCTTACGACATGAAATTAGAGGACGAAGAAAGCAGGTAAACATGAGAAACATAAAGAAAATTTTTCTTTTTTCTCCGGCTTGTCGGTTAAGAGCACTAATCAAAAACGTTTAAAACCGTCAAAATTGGCTATATTCCGTTTCACTACCTTCCAACGACCCCGTCATTTGTTAATGACGGAAAATACGACCCGAACAAGCATGAAACCCCTAGAAACACGCCAAAGATCATTATAAAACCTTCCAAGCTCGAAACTCTACATGAAAACTATTAAAACCACTATAAACTGGCTGTATTCAGTTGCACTATCCTCCTGACAACCCCGTCATTTGTTAATAACGGAAAAGCCGAACCCGAAAAAAGCCCGAGATGTGTGTGGGAGATATTTATCAATTTTTCATCGCGATGGCATAACCCGGGAATCTGCGTGAGGTGTTCCTCGCACTCCCGTTCATAGTAAATACTGACAGAAAATGGCATAAATGTAAGGAAGAGGTTAGGGTAGGCTAGCAGAGGTTATTAGGGAATTGGCAGAGGGTACGGTAAGCTAGCAGAAATCTTTTGAGAAGCTTTAGAGGGCGGGGGCGGCTAGCAGAGACTCCTTGAAAGGCGTTACAGACTGAGCTAGCTAGCAGAGAGCATTTGGGATGAATTACGAGTCGGCAGGCTGGCAAAGTTTCTTTTGGAAGTGTTTTTAGCTGAAATAGACCTTGGGAGGCATTAAAAGCCAGGTAAGCCGGCCGAGATTATTTGGGAGAGAGAGAGAGCTTCCTAGCCTAGACCATTTGAGAAGCTTTGAGGCTAGGCCATCTAGCACAGGGATTTAAAGAAGCCCTACTGGTGAGGGCCAGCTAGCAGAGACCATTTGGGAGGCCCTAGCGCTCATGGCAAGCTAGCAGGGATGATTTTGGAGGTCCTGGAGCTAGGGGCAGGCTAGCAGAGTTCCTTTAGGACGCTGTTTTTATGCATCTTCTTCGTGTTAGAGGGCTTTATTGGGTCTCCGGAAGATCGTTGACCACTTCCTCAGCATAAGATAGGAGAGAATAATGAGATTATAGCGGTGCCGCTATGAGGCCGTGCTTTGGGGATGACTTGCCGAAAATCTAGGAGAATAATCTAGCTTTTAAATAATCTCTGCTAGCCTGGTAGAGATAGAGAGCGAGAGAGAGAGAGAGAGAGAGAGAGAGAGAGAGAGAGAGAGAGAGAGAGAGAGAGCTCATCGACTAGCCCCAGATCAACATCCACTCGAATGTAGCCCCGGGGCTGAAATTCACCTCCATATCCGGAAGAGGGGAGCTAGAAGCGAGACACTTTTGCCAGCGACGTGTGTGGCATGTCCACAGGAGTCGCCCGGAAATTTGGGGGACGTTGACTTTTTGCCCTCCACCCCCTGACTTCGGTCCCGAATTTCTGGAATTTGAATCGGGGACTCGGGGCGCTATAAACTTGGGCAGGCTAGCAGACGCCTTTGGGGAAACTCTAAAAAGAGGTTCTTACAGGCGAAGGAAGGGCAAGCTAGCAGAGATTCTTTGGAATTGGAAATTTAGACTTACAAGGGAACCACCTCAGGTCAAGGTGGCGTTTCGTTATGGGACCCAGCTTATTTTGTGCAGAATTTTTTGCTGATTTCGAATCCGCTTTTATTTTTTGCTAAATAGCCCAATTTAAAAAGTTATAGCGTTTCAAACTTCCATTTTTTCCCAAATTTTCGAACTTCAAAGTCATTTATCTTGCCTTTCCCGTCTGATTCCTCAAAAACGAATATCGCCATCGTATTCAGAAAAATTTTCTCTATCGAATGAACTATTTAACTCAAAATTGTTGAAAATGAAAAAATCGACGATACTTGGTATGGACTCCGTTTTTTGTATGGGAAATGGTGAAAAATTGCCTATTTCACACCCCCGTAAGTGATCGTCGATAGGTCGTAGCGCACTAATGAAATATACCAATCGAATCAGAAAAAAATTCTCTACAAGACAGGCTATTAAAAATCGACTGCCCTATTAATATAAAAAAGTTGGGCATCGTGACAGATGACTTCCCGCGGGCACAGATATGACCTTAAAATCGCTATAACTTTTTAAATTGAGCTATTTAGCAAAAATTGAAAACGGGTTCGGAATCAGCAAAAAATTCTACACAAAATAGGCTGGGTCCCATAACGAAACGACACCTTGACCTTAGGTGGTTCCCTTGTTAGGCCGGCTAGCAAAGAACCTTTAGGTTTGGGCAATTTGTAAGCCAAAAAGGGGGAAGAGATAGGTAGGCCAGCAGAGATTCTTTCGGAAAAATCAGAAAATCAAGTGATCTCAGATGAAGTCAACTAGCAAAGAATGTTTGATGAAAATCCAACGCACCAGAAATTTTTCAAGGCAAGCTAGCAGAGCTTATTTGCGGAAATTTAGCTCTCACGCGCTAAAAGAACACGCAGGGTAGCAGAGGTCCTTAGAGGAAATTATAGCTGCCGAGGCAATGGAAGGATAAAGTAGGCTAACAGAAACCATTGGAGGTGCAAGGGCGGGCTGGCAGAGGTTGTGGAGAAACTTCAAGTCTAGTCATTTATTCCAATTCCCGAGTAGACGTGTTGAATGTAGCCTGGGGGCACGCATACCTCCACTTCCCCTGAAATGTGTTTTGGCGGAAAAGGAGTGGCCCGTCCATCGGAGCGCCTCGTAATTTGACGTGTGCGGTAGGTTTTGGGGCAAGAGATAGATACTCAAATACACTTATATTGGCAAAGAGAGAGAGAGAGTGAGGCGGATATAGGGCGAGATATTCAGTTATGGGCGAAGAGAAGATGACCGGCAGGAATAGCTGGAGGACGTTTTCGAAATGTTGCATTCGGAGCTGAAGCATTAAAGCATTTTTGCTAGCTTCCCTTTCCTCTTCCTAAATAATCTCTGCTTTCCCTCTCTCTCTCTCTCTCTCTCTCTCTCTCTCTCTCTCTCTCTCTCTCTCCTTTCCTTGCCAATACTTACAATACATACAATACTTCGGGAAACTTCACTGATCTGAGCAAGCTAGCAGAGACCTTTTGAGAAGGGCTGAGCTATCCAGCAGAGTCTATTTGGGAATTTCTAGGTTAGGGAGAGGTTAGACTAGGTTGTGGATCTATATATTTGTTATCGTCATTTTTCTTCATCAAAAATGCATTGAAATTGAGGGATGGAAAGATGAGGGCAAAAACGGCACTCGAAAAACAAAGGAGAATGAGATGGTATTTTTAGGTAGTTTTTAGGATTGGAAGGGGCAGTGAAGCTAGTGGCAGGCTAGCAGAGATCATTCCGGAATCACCAGAAATTTAACGGAATGCCCTGTGGCTATTTCCCTTGTCGCAACCGACGTAAGCCCAGAAGTGAGGGTAATCGGATGGGGCCCTTCCCAAGTGCCGAATTTGCGCGCCTCCCGGCCGCCTAATCACCAAAAATTGGGCGCACACCACGCAGTCGTGCCCTCCCTCGTTGGAGGCAAATTTCAACAAATTCCGTGTTTTTGGAGGCGTCAAAAATCGTTGGTTTGCAGGGCAGGCTAGTAACGTGCGTTGGGGAAGTTTCTGAAGCCTAAGCCTAAGCCTAAGCCTAATCCTAAGCCTAAGCCTAAGCCTAAGCCTAAGCCTAAGCCTAAGCCTAAGCCTAAGCCTAAGCCTAAGCCTAAGCCTAAGTCTAAACATAACCTAAGCCTTTTCTGACTTCAGGTATTTTTAGACACTTATGCAATGAAATTAGTATAAAAATCTGGCTACATATGCTGGTGTTGCAGTGATAGGGGGCAGAGATTGAGACATAAGTGGTTCCAGCTGTGGAAGAAGAAGAAGCATAAAGAAACTGGAGACAGCCGCAGGTGTCGACATCCATCAAAATATGAGGGTAGACCGGGGCCGGGTAATGGGGCTCGAGGAAGCGAGAGATAGGGAGAGCTTGAGTGACACAGAGACGGGGAGTGGAAAAATTCCACCAGCCACGCTTTTGGGGCTTCCTCCAACCGCACATAACGCCGCCTGCTTTAGTGGTTGAGGGAATTGGGGCTAATTTTCCGTAAAGGTACGCTGCTAGCTAGCCGTGATTCAGACCGTTTCCCAAAGGACCTCTGCGAGCCTACCCTCAGCCGCTATTTCTTAAATCACCCCTGTCAGCTTGCCCTGATCGCTGGCGATCGCCAAGGGATCTCTGCCGGTTTGTCCTTAGGAGAATGATCTGTTCGGGCTCATGATTCCCGATTTTCCCCAAGGGATATCTGCTAGCTAGCCCTAGTTCATCGTCTCCACAAAGAACCTCTGCTACGCCGTTAAAGGGATTGTGAAGTATGCTAAATGTTCGAAAGAGGCAAGCTAGCAGAGATTATTGTGGAATTCCCCTGGCTCATCCGAACTCTGCTGAATTGGCACGCTAAACGATCTATGCTTGCTTGCTTATGCCACGGAATCATAAAAAGAATGAGCCATCGAGAGAGAGAGAGAGAGAGAGAGAGAGAGAGAGAGGGAGAGAGAGAAAGCGAGAGAGAGCCAGAGATGGAGAGAAGGAGCGCCAAAGAAATCGTGAGAGCATAGGGAAAGCTAGCAGAGACATCCAGGGCAAGCTAGCAAGATCATTGAGCCCAAATTTTTAATAGAACGGCAATGACCGAGTGAATGTTCGTGCTACTACATCCCCAAGGGCAATAATTCGGGGCCGTTAACCCTTCTGCCCTCGTGCTCTTTTCCATCCAGCTTCTCCTCCTGGCGGCCGAAGAACACTTGTGGCGGCCCTCTACTGGGCCCTTGGCCCTATGTGTCGTTAAATTTTTGGCGTGCCCTTGAGAATGAGGCCGGGGCTGGGAGATCTGGAATATGGCCTGCCACGTACACCCCACATTTCCTCATTTCTGGGGCGGCTGAGGTGAAGGGGGACTGAGACGGGGTAAATGGAGTCGGAAGTTGGAAAATGGCAGGCTCTGGTCTAGAGGAGCGCTAGCAGAGATACCTCTGGAGCTCGGGAAGGTAGCATGGATTCTGATGGAGTTGAAAAAGAAGTAGGAAATGGCAGGCCAGCACTGATTTTTGAGGAAAACTGGCCTAGGGCCAGCTCTAACTGGTCTAAGGCTAGGGTAGCAAATCTAGAAGGAAATTTGGCCAGGGCAATCTAGCCAAGATCTTCACGGAAACGGAAGTACCTAGGGCGAGCTAGCACGGATTTTTGAGGAAAGCCAACAGCCAAGAAAGCAGACTAGCAGAGATCATTCAAGGCGGATCTGAAGCCGACGCTGAAAATCGAAAATTCCCAAGTGGGTGGGTGGCGGAAAATTGGATGAATTTTTGAAGCTATCATTTTCAGGAGAGAGTGAGAGAGGGCGCGAGCGAGAGAGAGACAGCGAGTGAACTAGAGAGAGAGAGAGAGGGAGATAGAGCCATGCATTGCGTGATATCAGAGCTCGACATTGCACGGGTCGGTGGTCACAGATTGCCCAGGGGGCGAAGGTGGCCGAAGCCGAGGGAGTGAAGCTTAGGAAAATCATAGTACTGGAAACCTGCTATGAACGCACTAAAGGTAAGAAAAATTCCGAAAAATTCCTCAAACAGTCTCTGCTAGCTTGCCTGGTTGGTCCCCTCTATGTTTCCGTGAACAGGTTTCACCAAAAAGTTCTGCTAGCCTGCCTACTTGATGTCTCAATTTCCACAAGGAATCTGTGCTAGCCTGCCCTGTGTTTTCAAAAAAAAAATATATAAATAGCTTCCCATGTCCTAAACCATAATCCCAAAACACCACCTCAAAACGCGTACAGAAATGGCAAAACCACTGGGGCCACTTTTCACTTTTCGCAATTCCAATACCCCTGGCGCGAGGGCTTTTAATTGGTGGCCCTTGCCCTGCCCTCCCCCATCTCGACGTTTTGCCCCAAAATTATAGCGCCCATCGTACTTCTCTTCTGCTCCCCATCCACGCGCCCAGGCGTCATCCCACCGAAAGAACGGAATTCCTGAGGGCAAGTGATCTTTTCAGTTTTGGAAAGTGCCTTTCGTGGAACAGTAAATACCCAGAATACATTTATTTAAGCAACAAAAACCGAAATAAATAGATTATCTAGGCAAAGTACTTGATGGTGATTCCGTCGGTCTGCGCGCTGCGCTTCGCCAGGTTGATGAGGAACTGAAAATAGGGGTTTTGAGCACGCTGGCGAGGGAAAATTTGCGACAAAAAAACATGAACACTTATAATATTCTGAAATTGCAAATCGGACACTCAGCAAGACGACTTTGTAAATGTTTGCTTGGCCTACTGTTCTTACTAAATTTCAAGGCCCTACATCATCGATGATTTCCCGCGAAGACCGCTTCCGTCACCGGCTCCGTCAGCTCCATATAGATCGTGCCTTAATATGTAACAGATCGTACGAATGAAGCGTGATCATTATAAATAAAAATACGTCAATCAGCAGTTCATGATGCCTACCGGGTAGCTGAAGCGCCGTCTTTCCAGTGCATTCAAGGAGAAAGCCCTTCCCGTCGTCCATAACTGAATCAAACTTTGTGTCCGAAAACCGCACGAGGGAATATCCCGGAAACAGTCTTCCCGAGAAGCCCGGCCCCCCCCCCCTCCACCAATCTTATACACAACCCTCGCTATTTCAAGAATTTTCGCTGGGAATTCATGTATGATTTCGATCGGGCATTGCTACCTCGAGATATACGAATTAAACTTACTTGCCGGCGTGCTACCGGCTGTGCAAGTCCCAAGTGGGAGTCAGCTCGACCGGAAGCCCAGTAATCTCGTAAGAGATCTCCTTCTCGGTGACCAAGACAGCATTAGAAGCGATCGCTCGGAATAGCTAAAAAATGGTTGTTTTTTCAGGAAACTCGGCACATACGGATACTTCCATTCCGTCCATGATGGCTTCCTTGGCGTCAGTGGGATTTGCTGACTAAAATTCACAAAATCCGGAAGTCTAGGGCAAAATTACCTGGCCAGGCTCGTCTCCCACTGACCAGAGCACTGATGGCTGAAGGGTTAGGCGGATTTCGGCTCTCGTGGCAAATCCTGAAGGCTTTTTGTTTCCCTTTCAAATGATCCCTTGTCGCCTTGGTACTTTCCTCACATGACCCCTGCTAGCTGCCTTCCCCGCAAATGATTTCTGCTATTTCGCCTGCCCAAAACAACCGCAAAACGCTCCCGAAGAAATACAGATACCGCCTCCCCAAGAAATTCTTTCGTTTCCTCTGATGGAATTGTTTTTTTGGCTTTCCTAGATGACTTTGCTACCCAGAGCCCTAACGCATAGACAGCTTCTATTTTCTCAACTACTCGCTGCTAGCCTGCCTTCTATATAACCCGAAACTACTTAACCTCCATCGGGCGTAATCGGACCGCAAGCCAAAGCCGTTCCCAAAAGTGCGAATAAGAAGACCATCTCTAGAATCTGGAGACCGCCGGAATGTACCTACCCCATGGCCCTTCTCCCTTATATACGAACCATCCTCAATTTTTTTTTCTGCGTTTTTGTGCATTTCTTTCTTTGCATTCCTTCCGCTTCTCCGCGTCGCGCACTTTTACAGCCACCATGGGCGAGCGGAAGACGTAAATTCTCGGATCGCCACCTCCAACTGTATATTTGCCCTCATTCTTGCTACGTGTTTCCGGATGCGTCACAGTTAGCTTGAGCAAAAGAGGAGGAACTTCTTTATTCAGATAGATGCACTAGGATCTAGACCTTGACGATGAAGTCGTCGACAAAGATGGCTCCCTTCTTTTCGAGTTCGGTTTGGATCTGCAGAAATAATTACATGACTTCTTCTGGTCCGCACCCTTTCCTTCACAACCGCTGCTAGCCTGCCCTCTCCTCTTCCTCAACAATCTCTGCTAGCCTGCCCTCTCCTCTTCCTCAACAATCTCTGCTAGCCTGCCCTCTACTCTTCCTCAACAATCTCTGCTAGCCTGCCCTCTACTCTTCCTCAACAATCTCTGCTAGTCTGCCCTCTCCTCTTCCTCAACAATCTCTACTAGCCTGCCCTCTCCTCTTCCTCAACAATCTCTGCTAGCCTGCCCTCTCCTCTTCCTCAACAATCTCTGCTAGCCTGCCCTCTCCTCTTCGTCAACAATCTCTGCTAGCCTGCCCTCTCCTCTTCCTCAACAATCTCTGCTAGCCTGCCCTCTCCTCTTCCTCAACAATCTCTGCTAGCTTGCCCCTCATCCTCAATGTCAGCTCCCATGAAATCAGAAATCAACCAACCATAGCGCCAAGATCTTCCCAAATACTTTCTGCCATTGCCAGTCCG